TTTAAGAGGCATTTGGACAATGCCCTTAATAACATGCCTTAACTTTTGGTCAGCCCTGAATTGGTCAGGCAGTTGGACTGGATGATTGTCGTAGGTTTCTTTCAACTGAAATTCTATTCTATTCCATTCCATTCCATTCTATGCATTTTTGTGGCCATTGCCCTAGCCTAAAAACTCTATGGAAAAATCTTTTGTGGAAGTCCAATTTACTAAGTAATTAATGATTTAATGTGCCTTTATAGTTTCACTCAAACAAATCTATTCCAGCACACTACAAATACTGAACACCATCAGTTCCTTAAAAAGGGTAATTGTATTATTATCGCAGATTTACAAGTGTCCAGGGAGAAAGATGAAGAGGTTAAGGATTCAGCACTGCTACAAGCTACATGGGACAACACAATAATTCAGCACTGAATAACCTGGAAAAAAAGCTGCCCTCTCACTATTTAAAGAGCAGATTTGGGACCAGTATACACAAAGCTTGTTTGAGAGCAAACCATCATCCAGCAGGAGAGCCAGGAATAGGATTCAGCTTCCCCAGAGTGCAAGTTTTACCCCACAGTGTCTAGACAGAACATTCATAACCTCAGCAAAGGTTTTGTTCTGGGGCATTTCTAATTGAAAGTCACATTTCGTATCACCTTCATAAATCTTTGAACATTTTGCACTGCTAATTCCCCATTGCCAGAGTCAACAAATTTAAATCACGTGAAACAAAACTGCAGAAAACACCTCAGTTCTGTTGATACACTCCAGGACTAATGACACTAATTTGTTTACTCGTATTACTATCAGTACTATAATGTAACCTGAAGACCCAATCAAGATTAGGACATCATTACGTTAGGCCTGAAGAAGGAGGCAGTTCATATCTCAAATTGCTTGCAATCTATCTACACAAGGCAGACGAAGTACAACTATCATTTTGCAGATGGAAAACAGAAGGAGTAAGCAGATTGCCAAAGGCTTTCAGAAGCTTGCTCAATGAAATCTCTGACAAAAACATGACATAAACCACTGCTGCTGGAAATGCATTTCAGTGCCAGAGCACTACCTTATCTATTAATCCCATTACTTTAATATTGTGTCAGGTAACTTTTGAGACACAACATTGATGTTGGATGATAAGAAATTATTATATTTGTTATATTTCTTAACAAAAATAAAACATACGGGGATCTGACCACATTCTTCTATCATATACTAAGGTCAGGACTCAGTTTCATGTTCTATCACAGTCCTCCTATCTAATCTTCTGCAATGATCTGCTGCATCTATTTGTGTACTTAACTCAGGCTGTGCAAAGCTGAAAAATTAGCAGGTGATTTACAGTACCAAAGTTAGGCACTAAGGCGTCTTATGTAGATAGAAAGGGCAATTAGGTACTTCTAAAGGGTAATCCAAAAATCCTGCTCTAACAGTAAAGCAGCCAAGAACTACTCCTTAAAGGAAGAAAAAAAAAATTTGCTTAAACTTTGAGGTTCTTTCTATACTGTTCCCCAGTGAGGTTGCACCTTAACTCCTGCTGCCACTGGAACTTAGGTCTGTCCATTAAAGCATCACAACACATTTGGGAATCAAGCCACAAAGTCTGCTCCTGAGATTATGCATCTATTTGAACAAGGAGAGAAAGATGCAAAGCTGCCACATATAACAGCCTAATAGCTGGAGTGCTGACAGCAGAAGTGTAAAACTTGATCACAGTTCTCCTTCATTTTGAGGAGATTCCAGTTCTCACTTCCCACTTCTCTGCAACATGTAGGGTCGTCAGACTAGAAACTACCCTGCTGAATCCCTGCCTTGGCAAAGCATGGATTATAAGATCCTGGAGGATGAGCAGACAGGACTCTATAAAGTTCTGCCAGATGCCTAGGATACCAGCCTTCGGCCCTCTCTGAACTTCTCCTGCATGGACTGCCAGGACAACTCATACAGACAGCTTGCTCCTAAAAACCTTTCTCCCAAAGATGCTTCAGAAGCAAGCTACAGGCCTTTTACTCCTGTGGTGCCAGCAGTCCCCTCCTGTCCATGCTCTCAGCCATCATCACCCTATCACATGGTAAATGCACATCTATGAGGGAAGGCAAGACAGGAAAGTAAGACAGAGCCCACAGCCCACTCCTTCTTTGAGTCTCCTTAAAAATTCCTAACTTGATCTGGGCAGAAGCAAGCCCCTTCTAGTCTCTTCCTCCTCCTTGCTGGAAACTCTTGAGACGTTAATAATTAGTGGACAGGCAATGTTTTTTCTATTCATGGGCAAAAACTAGCCCTTCAGGGAATCATGGAACCAACCATGTTTGTGCTAAGGAGCTGTATTGCCACACAGTGTGTGCTTTGGTGTGACAGCGGAAGGGCCACCACAAGAAGTTAAATGACCTACCAAGATGTCAAGACTAGGCACCACCGTATGGTAAAATCATTGGATTAAAAAAAAAAAAAAAAAAATATTTAATTCCTGAAGGCAGGGACTGGAATACAACTCCTTCAACACTCCTGTGTGAGTGCCTGTACCAATTACTCAACCTTTTGCTGCTCCTTTTCTTGCCCATGGCTCCTGCATTCTTCACTGCTGAATGTCCCAAACTAAACTGGAAGAAGCAGGAAATTTCAGCTTCTTCCCTCCCCAAGAAAAAAATGGTTGCAGTTAAGGATGTGGCAAATAGTGGGATGACCCTCTTCTGTTGGAAAAGGCAACTAAGGATAGGTTCGCCACGTCTGGAACAACTGTTTGGTTATTATACATAAAGTGGGCTCCCACAGGCTGTGTTTTTGACTGGAAGTGACAGTCTCTGCCAAGCTTGATGCTGGATGTGCTCAGAGCACTCCAGTGCCGTTAGGCTTTTCTGGGGATCCAGGTGGTCTCTAGATCATGGTTGAGCCCAGTCAGTGCATGGTTCCCTCACTTCCCAGACTACAACACTTCCCTACAGGTATCTGTGCCTAGCTCCTGAGTGACACACAGGCTGAACTTGGAGACAATTTGTAAGCTTTACATGCTCTCAGTATTAAGCAACTTTTTTTTTTTTTTTTAATTATTTCTGGATCATTTCCTTGAACCTACATGTCTTAATTTTTCCTAACTCCCATTTTATGTGACAAGACAGATGTTCTGGATATCTATGTGGATGGACATCTCTAACTTAGCTATCCACTTCCTAAAGCAGGACTCAGGAGCATGGTGAGGATGAGCATTAAGTATAGTGAGGCCTAGTAAGACCACAAATATAAGACAGATCATTTCAAGATGAATCCCAGAGATACCCGGAATTGCATCAGTATAAAAACAAGTTATACCGTATTCAGATAAAATGGTTTTAATTTAAAACTTGACATTCATATGTCATCTTTCCCACACGCTTTACAGACCACCGGAAGAAAACACTTAATCCACAAACTATGGGCTCCCTTTAAAAATATTACCAGCACAGTCTGCTTAGACATTTCAACAGCACTGGAACTGAGGCAATGAGCTTTTTCTGATATCTGTTCTAACCTGGGAGTTAGAGAGGTTGCACAGCACCAATAACAAGATATATGGAAAAAGCACAGTTTACACTGGAGACTGATTTAATGAGTTTTCATACAGTCTTTTATGTCAAAGACAGCTTATGATAGCCTCATCTAAGATGGCATCTAATATCAATAAGAGTATGCAGTATCTTATTATCTTTCCACATTTACTGTTTACACCCTCTCTGAAGTTATCCAGCAAAATTGTACTTTGTGGGATCCACTGGTCTCAAATTTTTTTGCCTATTTCAGTTCAGACATACAAATTTATCTTGAACTAACTGTGGGTGGGAGGTGACAATTTTATTTCATAGAAACTTTTGAAGTTTGGACCGGAACAGAAACATATCTTTCGGCATCTTTACAAAAATAGTTTCAAAACATCTATTTTCAGATCTAAGTTACAGAGGAACGTCTGTAAGAGCCGAGACTGACATGGGAGACCCATGTGTTTAACTACTTCTGATTCAAACTGGAAATCCTCATCAGATCAAAATACTTTGAATACACAAATGTGTAGGAGCTTAAACCAAGGCATCCTATATCCCAAGCCAGTGTACTAACTTCCATATAACCTTTTGAAGAGTGATATTACTGAAACTATATCAAAAAGCTTCTTGAAAATACAAATAGGTTTACTTTATTAGCTATATTTACTGAAAAATGTTCCCACCTTGATGCAGCCGTGAGCTACAGAACCAAGTAAAAAACTGAAAGAAAGCAACAGTTACCAGTGAGAACTTTCTTATAATACTGAACGCTAGAGGAAAGCATTCACAGATCTAGGCCCAGATCCATCACTGTCAATCCTCACATCACCTATGTATTGTCTTCTTAAGGAAAAGATCACATAAAATGGCAGGTCTTGATGTGACGTTCCCAGCTGGGGACTTGGACTGCAGAGGTCTTTGCATCTTTTGACAATTTACATAACTATGTACAAAACATAACATTATAAACTGATTTAAAGGACATTTTCCCTATGCACAAAGGTGCAGCATAAACAGCTCCATTAACCAACTCTCCACTTAAGATTCATATAAGTCTATAAAGCACATGTTAAATAGACCTTGCATTGATCTCTTCAATCTGGAATGAATTTTACTGCCAATACACAGACCATGCTTTTAAGATATATACAATCATTAATTATCTGTATCAAGATCAGAGGCTGGAAAAATATGAACCCAGCATTTTCTCTGTTTGATGCTGGATTTCATTAGCTAGTACAATGGCTTAAAGAATCAGGTCCACAGCTTCATCTGTTAACCTCTCACCACCGAATGCTGCACTTGGCAGATCTACTAGCATGCACAACTAGACACTGTAGCCTGAACTGCTCAGTTTGAAGTGAAATATTCAGGAAGTCCATCAGAATATATGAGTGACAGAACAAAACAATAAATACAACAAACACACTTGAAATGGCAAATCACTCTTGGACACAAGGCAGTTGGTATTGAGAGAATATTTAGAACATGCCTTACCTGTGTAGTGCACCACACATGTCTGACCCTTCTTTGGAAATGTCCGTCCTGTTAAAATTATAAAAGGTTATTCTTTTATTTTCTCTGATTAATCTGTATGGCTAGGCAGGTTTATCTTTTAAGAGGAAAATGTCAGACCGAGATTTGTATTGACTATGTTTTATCAAATCACTAATATGCAAGACAGGAATGCATATGGTCTAGGGTAGAAGGTCCCAGCTTGACCCCTATTTAGTTGTGAGACCAAATAATATCTTCCTTACATATTTTTCCCTATATATGTGGGCATTATATAGGCATTTACATTCTGTAAGTGCAAAACGACAGTCAAAATTTCACAGATTACAGCACTGAAATTCTCAGAATGTTTTTGTTAAATTTTTTCAAATAAAGTCTTCATTTGACATTGTGAAAAAATTCCATTTGTATTCACATTTCTAATGCCTTTTACTCAAGACAGCTCTAACAAGGGCATCTTTAATTAGCCGGGAAAGGTTTTAAAATATTTTTACATACAATGGCAGCTTAATATTGTAGCATCCGGCAACACTAAAGCTGTGATACACTGATTTCTTGTAAGAGCTTCCTAAAATTTTCATACTGAAAGAAAAAGAAGGCTTAAACTATTTTCTTTCAACTGGAAGACAAAATTACCATTTACATTTTGCCTGTTCTAGGTACTGCCAAAGGCACTAAAAACTAGGGGAAGATTTTCCAGTCTCAGTTAGGTGCCACTGGCATATTAAAACAGCTAACCTTGATTTCTCAAGTAATGTTGGCCAGGGGAGAGCCCAGGCTCAGAAGAACTTAAAAGTATGAATGAGACGAATTACTAAGGAACATCCTTGCCAGAAAGCTAGAAACTGGAGATTCAGATAGAAACAGAAGCTCATATCTTAGTTGGCTTTCTGGTCGGTTTAGTCTGAATTAACATGGTAACTTATGCAGTAGAGGGTTAATCACAGGGTATAAAACATTAAGTAACATATAAACTATAGGGCTTATATGCCAAAACCACCATGAGCAGTAAATGGCATGAGGGCAGGCTAATAAAATGAACTGAGATTTACAAGATGAAATTGAGAAGATGGTTCTTCCAAGCATCATCTGAACAGCCTTGTTCACCACCTCATATTTGGCTGCAGTACCTCTAGCTGTGGGCTGCATAAAGCACATCACAATAGGTATCCAGTCAGGGAATCACTGTAACTCTGAAGTGAGATTCATCTCATTTAACTTCAGCCATCTAAAACACTGGCAACTATCACATGCCAGTCTCCCGGGCTTCCCCTATTGACAGAGGAGAATTAGCAGTGCTTTGAGAAAAACCCAGACTATCCAGAGAAAGATGCGATGAATTATTCTCTGGAGAAGACTACAGAAAAAAAAAAAAACAACCCAAAACTAGAAAACTGCTTTAGACTAGCCACCTAACCTGAGAAGTTACGCGAGATGAATCCTACCCTTGGCAAAACAGGTATTAGTCAAATGATGCATTATTATACAGAGATCTGAGAAAAGGAGTGTCAGACCTTGCTGACACATACTCTGTTGTGCGAGTAGAACACCAGCAAAGTCAATGAAGCTACATAAATTCACATCAAAGCTGAATTAAAAGCAGAGATTCTCAAGACCACTGACTAGCTGTGGTTTTAAGACAGTGTTTAAAGTCAGCTGATTTTGATTAAGACTTGCAACCAAGAGAACTAATCCATATAAACTTATTTGGAATGGCATATTGCTTACAAAGACAGCCTTGATATATTTAATAGGTAGAAAGTAGCATTATATGGTTAAGTTCCACCCTTCTTTCTACCCGCTACCCAACAATGTTACTTATACCCACATAAGTGCTCTGCTTTTACGTCTGTGCAACCAAGAGAAGAATTCGATCCCCAGAGCTAAACAGCACAGAGGAAGAAGCCAATTTCAAAGCATACACAAAGAAAGAAAAGATACTGGGCCAAGAAAGTTAAGCTGAGATCGACTTGAACAAATTATTTACGGTTGTGTATCAGCCAAGGATGAATCTGGCCTATTAGAGAGATACATACGGCTGTATGTTAGAAATGACGTCCTCTTAGAAAAAAACCCCAAAACCTTATGAAATGAGATCGTAAGGCCACGGAAGAGCATAACAAGACGAATGGGCTCTGGAGAGGAGAGTCTGCGCCAAGCAGCGGGTACCGCCACCCGCGCTGCCCCGCAGCCCTGGCCAGCACCACCCGTTTACCCGGGAGGAGGCGGGCGGCCGCGCCGGGAGGGATGCGGACACAAACGGCCGGTGGCCCCCGGCGAAGCCGGGCGAGGAACCGGGGAAAGTTTGCGGCGGGGCGCGCTCCCGGC